GATTGCTTTGGAATATGCACTGCGTTGCGACTGTAGTACTAAGAAAACAGTTAAATTTTAAAAGCGCGGTTATAAGATCTAACAGATCTTCTTGTTATCAATGTTCTGTGAAGCCAACCATGACTGTGCCCTCATTAATTATCAATGTGTTCTTTCTTCTAGAATGTTTCTACATCATGTGCACACTATGCCTGACTGTACTTGACTAGTTTTAAGTATCATCTGATACAGAGATAATATTTCATGTTGAAAATGCTTTTGAATCGTGATATTAGCCCTTTAAAATATATTTTGTTTATTTGTGGATATGATACTGTTTGATATTTCCGCTGCTACCCAAATGCCTGAAGGGTTCATTCTTTAAGAGCAGTTTTGGAAAATTATTTTACAAGCCAAAAACATAGTGAGAAAAAATGCAATCAATTAAATTATGATCAAATAAAAGAAACATGATCAAAGACTTTCATTGTTAGGTGATGTTTCCACAGTATTCTGAACAATTAAGTAACAAATGTATATCTTTGTTTAAGGTATATGATGTACAGGCTGTTATACGTTGATCAAGTTTATCTGTACATTTCAGGAGTTTTTGTAGACTGGAACATCCCCTTACTACAGCTAAAACTGCTGCCCTTGTCAAAGTTTGTTTTTCAGAGAACCCAGTTTGTACTGTTTTGATTCTAAAACGTCTTCAAATCAAACCATATTAAACCACAGTTGTTTCTGTAAACTCATGACACAGTCAACTGCTTCTGTTTTGTCATACCATTCAGTGTGGGGCTCCTTTATAGTTTTCCTTGCTGGCTTTCTGTCGAGTAGTTTAATGTTCATAATTTTATGAAGTAAAAAGCACAAGGAATGTTGTATAGTGTGACTGGCTTTGGTTTTAACCAGACTGACAAGAAATATATAAATAAAATTTTTTTTTTCTGTGAGTAGCAAGAGCAGACTAAAGAATACAGAAATTGTCTCAAGACTTTGGAAAGAGCTTGGCTGGCAAAATTCAAAACCAAAGCTACTGATATGTAATTGACGTCTGCTCTAATACCTTTTGATTATTACATGTAGACTGGACTGTTTTTTAACAAATTAAATGTCAATTTTGCCAAATCACATGCTGAAAATCCCATTGGAATCCTGTTATTTCCAACTCTCTAGCAAAACAAAAGATAGTTTGAGATGCTGGGGGTTCAAGTTAGCCAATAGACAGTCACTGAAAAAGTATATATACGGTATATCCAAGGGTGAATTATAGGTGCTTGTCATAGCAGGGAGTTCGCTATAACTGAGCTCCAGATAGCGAGGTTTACTCGTCTCTCAAAACGAGAGTCTTGTCTCGCGAGAGGGTGGTAACTGTAAACTTATGTTACATGTACAATTATAATATTAAGGTTTTTTTGGTCTCTCAGTAAATGAATCTCTTGTAATCTCTTTTTACTAATATTGTGCACCTTTTTTTACCTATTTTTACCTTTTTAATCTTATTTTTACTATTAATAGTTTCGTTTCCAGGACCCCTCTGATAACATTGTTTAATACATGTACACTGATGGGTCATCCTGTTAAAATATTTGTTGTTATTATTATTAAGATGTCAGCATGATATTTCTTTTCAGATCTCAGACAAGAACTTGCAGTTAAAGAAAAGGAGAAAAAGAAACCTGGTGAAGGATTAGAATTCACCAAAGATAAAGAAAATAACAAAGAAAACAAGGAACCATCAAAACCAGAGGGAACTCCAATGAAGACAGACACTGTGATTCAGACCTCAGACCCTCTTGTGAATTTAACAACTGCATCTATAGGAACCTCACCGCTTCATTCCGGCTATGGAAATTCACCACTAACACCATCTGCACGAATATCGGCTCTGAACATCGTGGGAGATCTTCTCAGAAAAGTTGGGGTAAGTCATGTTAAATTGTTATGCTTGTAACAACCATTCATTGAATATAATTAACCCTAACATTTTATTCTTGCTTTCTTCAATTTGCTTTGGGATTTTATTTTTAATGTGCTGATGAATCGTTATGTTGTTGGGAATGACTCACTCAACATACTTCCTTCTTTCTTCTGGGAGAATAGGGCCATTGACGTGTGTCCTCCACTCTGCTCTGTCTCTGTTGTAGGGAATGGTACAAACATGTATTAAATGTTCATCTCTTTCATGTTATACTCTTTCTTCTCTCCTCTTACATCTTGTCGTGCAAAGAAAAGGGTTGTTTGATTATAGCAATGTTAATTTTTTTATTTTTCGCTCTATCCAGGCTCTTGAATCTAAACTGGCTTCATGTCGAAACTTTGTCAAAGATCAGCCTCGAAATCCAAGAGGATCAACTGGGTCGAGTAGCCCCTCTGACTCGCCAAGGTAGTACATGTTTATAATTAAATATCTTTTTAAATGAGTAAATTACTCAATTGACATATAATGTAACAAAATTTTCAATTCTAATTGGTCTTCCTATGTAACGTTCACATCTTTGTTGTAATTTCAGACCAAGCAGAATTCCCAAGAGTAATTACCAAAACCCAGGAATGCAAGGGCTAGTCAAGGTTCAGGTTTAATAACAGAAAACGTGTGTGAGGAAAAACAAAATACGCTTATATTGCCACACTGAGCTGTGTTTTAGAGCATTCTAAACATCCCAGATGTGTGCTGGTGCAGTTGTGCCTTGACCCAAATGAAATTTGAGCCAATAATGTTTTGAAAAACAGCTCAATTACCCGAGGCTATACCCTTAGGCTAAATCAGGTCTTGTTCACTTTCGATTCATTACAAAAATGAATTAAAGGTGTAGGTCGTTCATGGTGTATAATGTTGAGCTACATCATTTCAATCCATAGTTTTAAATTCAGAGTAGAATTTGCGTCCAATTTGTACAGATATTTTGTATTGCTGTATTAAGCATTTTATTGTATCATAGATTCAGATTCAGGTAGCACAAGAGAAATTCTACATTCATTTAAAAAGGTGACCCAGAGACATTTAAGAATATTTAATAATTGTGCAGAATTACTGTATGAGAGCAAAACTCTGCAGTCATTTAAGATTTCCAATACTTCCAAGTATTTATTTTTAAAAAAACTTTTCAGCAGGTGAAATCTGGAAAGTTGTCGTACCTGTGCATACTACAATGGGCAATATGGTTTTGCAGGATTTTTTTTAATTGTCTACACTTTTGTTTGGACATTAGAGCTTTATCAAGTAGCAGACAAACCAAATAAATATATAAAATCATCCATCATTGTCGATTGGTACATGTGCATCTAAGCAAGAGTTGCCATGTCTCTAATGTAAGCAATGACAGTTGATGGCAGCATTATTTGATTATCTAAGGTAAAGATTGAAAATACAGGCAGAACACTAAATCTGTTTTCCCAACTGAAGGTCAACTGGTGTTTGTAGAGTCAAAGAGAGTGTGGTAAATCTGGTGTTTTTATTCTAGTGAACTACAACCTGGGTTCACGTTATTTAATAAATAAACCGAGTTATTGAAACTGCACTGTCTAGTATTTTCCCCTTTTCCACAGCTGCAGTGAACATCTAAATAAGGGTTGATGTGTGTTTCCAGTCTCATGATTTAGCTCAGTTTGAACTCCTTCTGGAGTTATCATTATGTGTTGATTAGTACATAAAATTCTGCAATTCAGTTTTGTATATGTTGTTAATGTGATCTAATTTAGGAGAGAGCTTTTTATATTTTTTAAAATAAATTACATGTACATGTAAACAGCCATATATGTATATATAAAAAAATATCTTTTAATTTGTGTGATCACTTCGACATCTGATTCATATTTCAAATTGAGACCCATTTACCAAAGGCATATGATAGATGGCAATTGCATTTATGCTTTGAAACATGAATTTTCAGGTTGAAAGATAACAGATGAGGTAAGATAAGATAGGATAACAAATGAACAGCCTTAGCTTTAGAGTTTACAATTCATTTAAAAGCATAAATCATGCCTTTGGTAAGTGTATTTTGTTTTTGAAATAAAGTCAGTTATTTAGGATTAACTACAGTTGCCATGAATTGACATAATTGCATGGCATTGGTTATTAAATATTAAGGTTACAAGTCAATAATGACACTCAACCCTCTCAGTCTAAATGGGATACTGTTGCCACTTGTCTATCTAGGGAGGTGGCCACTGTGCAGCTTATGAGTGTGCAAGGACCAGCACCAGGTATCCATATTAAATAAAGAGAAAGAGAGAAAGAGAGAGAATTGACTGCATGTCATGTTATTCCTTCAGCTGTAAAAATAAACCCTGGTCTGGTTATCAGACAGTATTATTATTAGTATTATTGTTCACTCGTTGCAGTGATATTCTAAAGTAAACTGTATGAGTGTGTTGCAGACTAAAGTTACCTAACTCACAAATATCCCTTGATAAGTACAATAGTGCCTAAATTATTAATTATTTTTCTTAGTACAATCTTTTGGTGATGAGACAAGTCACATGAGTTCAACGTTTCATAGATTCAAGAGGACAAAGTATCGTAAAACAGTTAATTTTAAACAGTCCCAAATGTAATTTTTTTTTTCTTTTTTCGGTGTCTCCAGTTCTTGTCTACCCCTTTTTTTGATTATTTTTTTGTCTGCTGTTGAAGTAATGTCACTAACCAATTTTCAATATACACCAGTTTTTTTTAATAATCCTTATCATCCTCCATAATGAGTGCAATGACTTGTTCACAACATCACTACCAAGATTGTGCTAAGTTCTTTATCTGGATGTAATAAATTTGTTATATTCTGATTACTATTGAGCGCCTTTTCCCTTGGGAAGGCCAGGAAGAATTGATTAGGCAAAATAATGGAGAACTTACAGACCTAATGCACTTTGGTGTTGAGTCCTCAGCAACACTCCCCCTTTGTCTTGGTTGCCCAAAAACTCTTTGAAGTAATAAACATTTACTGGCAAGAACCTTAAGTTTTGGAACACTAAAGTGTCTTGCATTACTGCAAACAATCAAGTCGATAATACTTAGTTGTTAATATACTACATTGGTGGATTGGGTGTTACCTCATCCCTTATCCCTGGGAAAATTCAACATCTGTCATTCAAATCCTCAGCTTTCAAAGATATTCCAATAAATATTTCCATTTGCCGGAAGGAGGTCAAGCATGCTACCTCTTCCTCTTCTTAACTGGGTGTTTTAGGTCCGCCTGTATACCATGTGTTCAATCAATCTTCCTCACTTTCTTAAAGTAAGCAGTAATAACCTTGAGTGAATTTTAAATTAGTGTAACAGTTAAAACTCCTCCACTTGTTCACACAAACAGTGGAGACCTATGCCTGAAGCAGCCCTATGGGTTATGAAAGTGTGCCTGCATAGAATTTACATATGCCACATATGCCCGTGCAAGATCAACAATGTAACTTGTATTACTAGAAAAAGGGACAATTGTTAATTTATTGAAATGTGTTGGCCTTGATGATGCCTTGCAAAGAGTGACTTAAGTTATCTGAAGAGTGTTTGTCCATGCTGTCTTGAGGTTTATTCACCAATAAATAAGTATAAACTGCAAAATATTGTGATCTGGTTTGTCTAGCTGACGCTTCTTGGAGATCACTATACAGTTGAACATCTTTTAGTCAACTGAACCGAATGTTGAAACTCGGGTGGTAGTTGGTCTGATTGCAGGGGTACCAAGTTTCCTAACTTCCATGCTAACCCATGTAATTATGAAGATCTGACCCCCAAAGAAACTGCAGGGGTTTTTAATCATTGCCGGACGCCGGGCAAATTGACCGGCTGTGAGGGTGATTTTGCCCGCCTGGTTTGACCATGCAGAGGAAAGTCTTCCTTATAACAAAGTTCAGTTAATAATTTTTGCGCACCTGTGAAAACCAGGTGCCCCCCCTGCTTAAAGCATGAGTGAAACCCCTGAAACTGTCGGTTTAATGTCGCCGACAAGTAACCGACAGGCTGCCGACCGGTTACCGACAGTTGGCCTAATGTTTGGCCTTCTTCGATAGTTCGGGCGCTAAATGTGGCAGTGATCACAGCAACTTCAGAGAATTCACATGCCCATCCATAAGCGCAGTTTTGGAGATAAATAAGATAGTTGCAGTGCTGCGATATTTTTTTACCGATCTGTTCTGGGCCCGGGGGGGGGGGGAATCCCATATAAAAAGAACGGGGGTGCTGGTCGTACTTTTTAGGGGTTAAAAAAAGCGGTTTTGTTACCTCTTAAGGTATTCATTCTCAAAAGGTCCACAGCGGGAGCTTTCGCGGTACTTTTAGGGTGTTGATCCGAAAAAATATGAGAGGAGATAATGTGTTGTTTTAGAATTGACACCTCTAAGGGGTGAAAAAAAACTTTCAAGCCAGGCCCACAAAACATGATTTTGGTACCTCTGAGGGGTTCTTTTCAAAATTTCTCACGAGCACCCCTGTTCTTTTTATATAGGAGTTCCCCACTGGGGATCTGTGTCCCAGTGTTGTGTTTTTGGGTCCGGCAGTCAAAGTAATAACCAGTTGGACCTCACTTACTGTGCTAATGAAGGCTTAACCCCTTTTTGTAGAAACTAATCCATCGACTTGTAACCCTCCAGGAACTCCAGCATTCAGACAGATTTCTGAATTTGCCTGAGAGGCAGTCGGTAAGGAAGAGATTTAAAATCTTAGCCACCATTGAACCCAGACTCCTCTAAACATTAGAATCCGGTGCATCACATGTATGAAATGCCCGCAATTACTACTCTAGTCCTAAGTAATAAGCATCTTAGATCAACACAAAACACAGTTTGGATACAACTTCTAAACAGAAGTCACTGATTGGTCAATTTCGTCATTTCGGTTAATTGGTAGAGATCATTTAAGCTTGAGAGGATAACTTCCTAATAGTAGCTCGAAATGTTTTTTACAAATTATATATCAATCTAATACAAATTAGGATACAAACTATAGTTACTCGAGTTTCACACTTGAAGCGATCATCAGATCATTAATATTATTTGTGTATCAATCTAATCATGAGAAAGGTTATGAAACGTATACGTACAATTCGTTAAAATCATTTTCCACGACATACTTGTGTTCCTTATTTATCAGTGAATGTTCTGGACGTTCTGGTCAAATTTCCTTTCTTCATACCCTATTTATTCATTTAAAGAGGAGGGATACTATCGAAAAACGAATTCGAGTTTTTGTCCTCTAAAGATTTATAAACACGTCATGTACATGCCTTCGAGTTATACCATGAAAATCTGGCCGCAAGCCGATGAAATAACAGCTCCTCGGCTAACGTCAGGCAGCAAAAAAAAAAAAAAAAA